TGGCAGATAATATGCTCGATCGTCTCTACTTCCTCCTCATCCTCGCATAACCTGCAATAGTCCGGTACACTACTGTCCCACTTACTAACAAAGGTTCTAACTGAGCAGTGTCCAGTTAGAATCCCTATCAGAACCCTTAGACTGCGTCTGTCCAGTCCTATAAGTATTTTGGTAGCACCCATATCAAGTTTTGGCCATAGGGCCTTTGATATTTTGCAATCCAATCTACTATTCCAGGACTGGTTAATGATATCACGTATTCTTTCGAATATCAACCTATTATAGTGACAAATGGGTGGTTTAACCATCCTTTCCCTGTCATCTATATCAAGGTTCGAACCCAATCTAGCTAGTTCGTCCGCAACCTCATTACCATGCACATTACAGTGCCCTGGCACCCAACACAATCTAATGACAAACAGTCTCATAATGTCCCTAAGGGCATTTCTGCAATCTACAACTAGGTGCGAGTGTACCGTGTGACAATCCAATGCTCTAAGAGCAGCTTGACTATCAACATAAATTGTCACAACCGACCCCGGATCGATATGATTCCGAATCAGTTCCGTCGCTTTCCAGATCGCTAGGATCTCTGCTTGGAAGACACTACATTCGTCAGGGAGTCTGAATGACCGTTTTATGTTGATATCAGCGATATAGACACAGGCACCCGTGCCGGTATCCATCTTGGACCCGTCAGTGAAAACTGCACACCCTCCAAACAGTCTATCGGATACAAGCCAATCATCCCTAGTTGGAAATTCTATAATAGGTGTTTCCCCGAAGTCTAGAGTCGTAATATCATAATCCGTAATTCCGTGAAGGGAATTACCCTGATCAAGCAGACCTACTTCGTACAAAATTTTTGTATGATTGTCGCGCGAGGGTTTCGCTAACGAATACTCGTAGAGTCTTAGTAGATTCCTAGCCGCCACACCCGCTACAAAATGTTCAATAGGTGACAGGTTCAGAATGATGTCCAAGGCCGCTTGCGGAGTACTTCTAATGGCACCAGTAATGCCAATGGAGGCACACCTTTGAGCTTTATTGAGCAACTTCCTGTAACTGTCCTTTCTCAATGTCTCCCACCAGACAATGCAACCATAAGTTAGAATAGGCCTGACAACCGATGTGTAAATCCAATTTACCATATCTGGTTGCAGACCCCAATTCTTCCCTATGGAATTCTTGCATGTGTAGTAGGCATTGAGACCCTTTTTCATTCTTTCCTAAGTATTTTCCTTCCATGACAGCTTGCTATCAAGGAAGATCCCTAAATACTTAGCTCCTCTAGATAAACCTAATTCGACGCCATCTAACTTTGGCAATCTGAAATTGTCTACCTTATACCTTCTGGTAAATAGTACCAGTTCCGTTTTACAAGGATTAACACCCAGTCCCTTATCTTTCGCCCATAGCGAGAGTTCACCTAATGCAGTCTCCATGATGTCACTAATCGTGGATAGAAATTTTCCTTTGACCAGTATCACCACGTCGTCCGCATAGGCAACTATCTTCCTACCCTTAGATTCAAATAGCCTTAGGATACCGTTAACCGCTAGTAGCCACAGAAGAGGAGATAAAACACCTCCCTGTGGTGTCCCCCTGGTAACCCTTCTCCTAATGCAATGATCCCCTAGGGTCGAGTTAATAATTCTACTGCTAAGCATACAGACTATCCAACTCACCAGGAAGTCCTGAACTCCGAGCCCTATAAGCGAATCTCTAATAGCCTCAATCATTATATTATTGAAGGCTCCCTCAATGTCCAAAAACGCAGCCAGAGTATAATACTTATTCTTCAAACCGTGCTCAATACAACTTACCACCTCATGCAGTGCACTCTCAACAGATTTACCCTTAAGGTAGGCATGTTGAGCGCCACTAATGAGGCGAGTATCAATATTGTTCCTTAGATGTAGATCTATCAGTCTCTCAAGTGTCTTCAAAAGAAAAGAAGACAGGCTGATAGGTCTAAAATCCTTTGGCTTTGAGTGGCTTACCTTACCGGCCTTGGGTATGAAAATAACCCTAACCTCCCTCCACCTCTTTGGTAAATACCTACTTCCAAGGCATCTCTTAAAAATCTTCATCAGAAGAGATATAGCGTCCTGAGGCAAGTTCTTTAGTAGAGCTGGAAATATACCATCCGGCCCCGGTGACTTGAAGAGGTCGAATGAATTAACCGCCCATACTAGCTTTTCCCTAGTGACTATCTCCTCTATGCAACTGTAGGTGCTACTTGGCGCCACAGACTCGAAGTCCCTTTGGTCGTCAACCACATCTTCAGTTGCAAGACAACCCGGAAAATGTGTTTCCATTAGCAGAGCTAGGGTCTCAGAGCTGGACTCAGTCCATGAGTTATCACTCCTTTGGATATACCCTATGACCCTTGGGTCCTTAGATAATATCCGTCGGAATCTTGATAACTCGTTGACATTGTCTATGGATTCACAGTACTGGGACCATGAAATCCTTTTAGCCCTTTTGAGATCAGCCTTATACTTACTGAAACACATTTTATAGTTGTTCCAGTCAATTGCTCGACCTGTAAGCTTGGCCCTATTGAACAATTTCCTAACAGTCGACCTTTGAAGTCTAAGTTCCTTGGTCCACCACTTAGGTTGCTCTCTTTTGCCCGGGAAAGTAACCGGACAAGATAGCTCATAGCTTCCCTTAAGTAGGTCTGTGAACTCGTTCACAACCCCCTCTAAATCAGTTGGCAACAAATCGCACAAGGCCCGTTGTGCCAATACAGACTCTACCCTATCATTAAAGGTTCCCCAATTTGTTTTCCTAGGATCCCTAAAAGGTGGACTCCTAGCCAAGACAAAATCCAGTGTGAAGGTAATGCGACTGTTTCGGCGTCAATCCGATATGGTTCAGTGTAAATGCACAAAAAAGAATAAAACACAAAGAATTATTAGTTTTATAAAAGGAGAAGATTTGTCTTCCTTTATTTATATATTACCTTAAGCATGTATGCACAACAAGAAGTGCTCTTTAAGGCTTCTATATGACGAGTGATAAACAACTACTTATTTCTAAGTATGGAGGCTAACAAAGTTTAAATACAGTTAGCGGTTTACTCGTTGAAATAATAATAGTTTTCCATCAAAGATGTAAACTAAAGTGGTAAATCATTAGGATTTACACTTAGAGGAAAAATACCGCAAATAATCGATTTGTACTTAAACATTGCCGGCCCCCTTGCAACACTTAAGGTGTTGTAACTAAATAAATGACGAGTCATGAAGGACTCTCGTGGACTGTTTTTTCCAAATTAAAATGAGCCATGATCAGACTCCAGTTTTTTCTACTTGGGTCATTATGGACCCGTTTGAGCCATGATGAGACTCTGGTTGAGCCATGATGAGACTCTGGTTGAGCCATTAAGAGACTCTGGTTGAGCCATGATGAGACTCCGGTTGAATCACTTAGGACTCTTGCTATATTAAAAATAATTTAGGAAAAGGTTAGTAAAGTAAATTGATATATAGTGATCATTTAGGAATTCAAAACAACAAGTCTGCCATACAAAGCGATCAATAGTAAAATTACTTAAAAATTCTTCTTTCCATCTTTTACGATTCTATTAATACAGCGTTTGGGATAGACGTAAATCTCGAATTATCTATATTTAAATATTACCTCGTAAAAGGTTACAATAAGTGTTTGCACGTAGTGCCCTGTCGTAGACAAAATGAAAAAATAATGATTTACAAACATTTTAATTAGTAGCGGTTCTATTATAGATTGATAAACTAACTAGTTCCTACATCATTTGGGTTCATTACGATTCCATGTTGGAATGTAGCTATTTTTAGTTGGCCTATATCTTTCCTTCGTAGGAGATGAATTAATACTATTTACAGGACCGGTTAATATCCAACCAAATACGGTTTTTTGAGCCAATAATGATCCTAGTACTTTTTTCCTAATTCCGGGTAAAATAAGCTGGGGGTATACATCAGCTCCTAATAATAATTCCACAGGTCTGCTCCCGAAGGGATTCGAATCTGCCAAATGAAGATTTGGCAATTTGTCGGCATTAACCGAAACCGAAGGCAGATTTCCCGAAATGTTTGGCAAAACAGATGCCGAAGTGTTTAATAAAAATGATGAATCAGTACTAGAACCTATCACCAAATTACAAGTCTTCATCGAAATGGCCGAAAATTCCTCATTTACGCCTGAAAACTTCGCTGTTTCGGAAATGGTTGGAAGCTTTAAACTTTTTCTCAACTTTTCAGAAATGATAGTGCATTCTGAAGCAGTGTCAATTAATGCTCTAACTTGATACCTACAGCCATTGTGTATCAAGTCGACTGTTGCTGTACCCAAAAGAACAGAATGATTCCTACGAGTATGGAATACTTGTCGTTCAGTCATGGTGCCTGTCGTAGTAGGTCTTCCAGCTGTTGTACCTGACAAAGTGGGCAGATGGTCATTAGGAGTTGGATTAGTGGGTCGTAGAACCACACTAGAATTGTCATCTAATGAAGTAGGAGGTACATTGCTAGTCAGTGTACCCAAAGGAGTAGAATAATTTTGACTAGTATGAAATACTTGTCGTTCAACTATAGTGCCTGACGTAGTCGGTCTTTCTACCAATGCAGTTGACGTGTTAGTAGGTCGTTGGTCATTAGGAGTGTGATTGTATGGTCGTAAAACCAAAGAAGAGTAGTCATCTAATGACTCAGGAAGTGCATTTCTAGAGTTTTGCGAAGCTGAAGAATCCCGATGTAGTGAAGTATGGTGCCGCTTATTACAAATAGAACAACGATGTTCACTTAAACAATCATTAACTTCATGTGAGTTAGCTAGACAATTTATGCAGCAATGAAATTTTTTAACCGTTCTAAATCTCTCAGGAATAGACATTCTATCAAACTGACGGCAAAAACGAAGTAAATGACCCGGTTTTTTACATAAAACACAAGCATTCGTAGGACTTGTATTCAAAACATGTGTCTTTTCCTTGCGTTTAATGCCTTCCTTATCAGTATTGGAACTCTTAAGATCGCGTATGCAATCTAACGTTTGGATTCTTTCGGTCAAAAACATGTCCAAATCTTTCCATAAAGATAAGGCAGTTTTGTCCTTAACACTTTGTTCCCATAGTGTCACTGTCTGAGAGGGCAGTCTTTGTATGCAAATAAAAACGATAATTGGATCCCAATTTTGAGTGGGAATCTCATATATCGACATAGCAGTTAAAAATCCATTGATTCCGCGCTGTAACCTTTTCAAAGAGGAACTAGTCTCTTCTGTTATTGTCTCTAAACCAAACAAACACTTTAACTGATTATTAACTAGCATTCGAGGATTTTCGTATGTATCTTTTAAACTTTTCCACGCTATATCAAACCCAGCATTAGTCAACGGACATTTAGATACAATTTCTCTCGCTTCGTTATCTGTTCTTTTCACTAAATAACATAGTCGTTCGATATTACTCAGCCGACTGTTATTAATATATAAAGCAGTGAAAAGATCCCTAAATGTAGGCCATGAGAGATAATCGCCGTTGAAGATGTCCGTATCACATGGCGGAAGAGGTAGATTATGACTAACATTATCAAAATTTGAATCATTGTTTGGATGATGGGAAACTTTAGGCTTAGTCTTTGCTTCCAATTCATCAATCTTAATTTTTATCGACTTTGAACATCGCGCATAAACATTAAGGGTACTCTGGAATTTACTTTCAGCCACTTGAATATCTTCTGGCTCAGCGTCTTCAGAAGATTCAAGATCGTCTAAACACTTATCGAAAGTAATTTTCACCTTTTCCCAACACATCTTCAATTCACTTTCCAAAACTTCGAAGTAGTACACGTGATGATCTTCCTCGCGTATATTATTAAAGTTTGCCTCAAATTTTATAACGGCGTCTGAGGCACGAGTGAAACGTTCGAGGGCTGTCAAAGGCATTTTTCACAATTTTAAGATTGGATTTATTTTGGTAAAATACTATAAAAATAGGAAGCAGCTTTCAAAAATCACAAAAAATCGAAATTGTATTGTTACTTTCCAAACAAATTATTAAAAGTCAAATCGACCGACCGTAGGGTAACTAACAATAAATTAGTAAAAGGAGGAAGAAGAAGAATTTTATCTTTCACAACACAATTACTAATATTAAATTTGTGTGAACAAACCTTGCATTAAATGCAGTCACTAATTATTTTGATCACTATTTATTTCACTCAAAAATTAACACCAAAATAATTTTCTTTAAATAGTGAAAAGTTAATTTTTTATTAATTTGCCGAAAAACAAATGCAATTTTTAATTATCAATTATGGCTGTTGTCCAATGTAAACAAACGCAGCCTTGGTTATAAAAGTACCGATCACTATCTGTCAACAGGTACTGTATAAAATAAAATCGCGCAAAGATGTATTAAATAGGGATTCAAATTAATTCACAATAAATTATTATAAATTATTAATTCCCTTTTTTTGACAATAGACTTGTTGTTTTCTTTTGTTTATTCTTTATAAAACACACACACGTATATACATATGTTTTTATGTATGTTTATCATACATGGGAGTAGTTAATTATATCGACTAATTAATTGACGATTTCATTAGCATTAAATTGAAAAAAATTATAATTATTTTTTTTTCATTAGCATTATTTTGTCTAATGGTAATGGTTTTTAATGAAACAATTTCATTAGTAATTATTTAAAAATAAATTTTCATTACCATTATTCAATGGATTTTAAAAATGTTCGAACATTAGTTCGAATTTCGAAATTAATTTCGAATATCCGAACATTATAATGTATTGTCATTAGGTGAAATCATTTATGCCAAATTTCAGCACATTCGGACTAGAAGAACTAGTTTTAACAGCTTTAAAAATTTTTCGAACACGATTTCGAATTTTCTAAATTTTTTTTTAGGTTTAATTAATTTAGGTTTAATTAATTTAAAAACATAAAAAAAATTTCGAAAATAAATTCGAATTTTCGAACTTAATATCGAATATTCGAACATATTATTGTATTGTCATCAGATGTACTTATGACTGCAAAATTTCAGCCAATTTGGGCTACGTGAACTGGTTTTAAAAGCTTTCAAACCTCGAATCTTCGAAAAATTTTCCATAATATATTTTTCGACAATTATAAATACTAATTAAATTCGTTTTTGAAAATTCATTATCAAATTCATTACCATTATCAAAAAAAGTTATAATGAAAAAAATATAATTTTCATTAAATGGTACTTAAAATATTTTTCATTACAATTTTTTCTATAAATGGTAATGAAATTTTAATGCTTAATGAAAAATTCCCATGTATGATGTTTATGTACTTTTTCCTTTGACACAATCACTTTTATATCAATTTACTAACCTTTAAAAAAAAGCAATCTTAAAAACTCTCCAAACAAAAGGGCACTTAAAATTCCTTGGCAAGGGGTCTTCCTTTCATATGCTGGAGGATGAACTTCTTCGTGTTTTATCCGCTTGATTAAGATCAAGATGTGTAGATTATCCTCGATTCGAAGCAACAATTTAATTAATCCGGTTCGAAGCGACCAATGTTTCGGCGTCAATCCGATATGGTTCAGTGTAAATGCACAAAAAAGAATAAAACACAAAGAATTATTAGTTTTATAAAAGGAGAAGATTTGTCTTCCTTTATTTATATATTACCTTAAGCATGTATGCACAACAAGAAGTGCTCTTTAAGGCTTCTATATGACGAGCGATAAACAACTACTTATTTCTAAGTATGGAGGCTAACAAAGTTTAAATACAGTTAGCGGTTTACTCGTTGAAATAATAATAGTTTTCCATCAAAGATGTAAACTAAAGTAGTAAATCATTAGGATTTACACTTAGAGGAAAAATACCGCAAATAATCGATTTGTACTTAAACAGCGACTATGGTCCGAGAATGAACAGTCCGTTGCAACCTTCCAATCCCTAACGAGATCTTCTAAACGGTTAATTAAAGTTAAATCTATAACTGCCTCCCTATCCTTGTTCCTGAACGTCGGCGTATCGCCCTTGTTACAGATGATGAGATTATTATCAGTTATAAAGTCAAATATTAACTCACCTCTTTTGTTGATATCCTTGCTGCCCCATTGGCAATGATGAGCATTAGCATCACAGCCCATCACAAGGATCGCACTTTTTCTTTTCGCATATGCCGTCAGCTCACGCACCTCAGAGCCGGGTGGGTCAGTCGCCTCGTACGGCATATACACCGAAGCCAGTGTGAGCGTACGCCTACCTTTGGCTTCTCTGTTTATTACGGTTATGTCACCGCTCCTAAAAGAATGAGAAATGAGAAAACCTAATTCATTCTTTGCCAGGATACAAGTCCTTACCTTGTCCTCGGAAGACGGGACAAATAAGGTGTAACCTTTGACCCTTAAACCAAGAACCTTATTGTTGTTAATCCAAGGTTCTTGGATAAGGGCCACGTCCGTCTGTGAATCGATGAGGAAGGTTACTAAATCGGCTGAAGCTGCTTCACAGGGATGCAGGTTTATCTGCTCCACCAGCAACTTCTTTGGTTCTGTCATGTTTCGGGTACCGGAACCTGACAGTGCCAAGACCAAATTTAGCAACCCCCCCATCTCATCCAGGACTTCTAAGGACTTACGATCCACTGCGAATCGAAAGTCCTTGCCAGTATTCTCCTTACAAACCAGAAAGTAAGAAGTCTACCATTCTGTTTGGCCAATACTGCCAGTATGGTTTGCACCGTTCTTACGGGTGGTGGAATCCACACTGTTACTATTGACCGTAGTGGCAGTTCGGAAGCTTGTATCACCTCAAGCTTTGCTGCTGGGTTAATGTCGCTACATTTGCCAATTGCCGATTTTAAGAATTCCAAGGAGTTCTTGTTTCCGCAATTGACAACCTTCACGCCCTTAACCCAGTCTGCACCATTGAAGGATACATCCTCCGACTCACCCTCAAAGATGGCGATTTCATCAATCAGCCTACCTTCAATTGATTGCCAGAAATCGGTACTGATCCTCCCATCTGGATCATTCCGATCAATGACTGCCACTTGAAGGCATACATCTAGTCTGGTTGACTTCTTCACCTTCTTACTGGATGAAGAGGGTTGATCATCACCAGATCTGGCTCTCTTAATTGTCTCCTTACGGGGACCTTCAGGAGCGCCAGCCGGGGAGGGACCAGACCTCATCTTTGTGCTAGGTGACTTTGACACCACTGGTTTGGAGGGTCGGTCACTACCGGAGCCCTTTCCCTTACTAACGTTCTTGCGGAGGTCAGTAGGAGAGCGGGCCGGAAGTTTACCGGTCCTCTTTACCTTACCTGGTGTCGTGTCCACCTTGCTAGGGTTTTTGGGTGGTAGACCTTTGACCTCCGCAGCTCGCTCCGAAGGCATGAGCGCATTGGTTTCCGGGATACCACCCTCTTTGCCTTTCGGCAGACTGCAGGTTGATGTTGCTATCGACCCATCACTCTTTTGAGTGTTAGTCGGGTTGATTGCAGCATCCACCTGTTGTCTCCAGGGAGTGGACCAACCCAGAACGTCACCAACGGGGCCGTATATTCTCTCGAATTTAGCGACGCTTTGTCGGTGCCTTCTGAGCAGGAGCCTCTCCCTTGACGAGAACTTTGAAGAATCAGCCTTTGCCTTCTTAGACAGAAAGGCGAGAGACCTCAAAGTCCCGTTCCTAGCCTTCTCCTCCTTCGTTCGGCCTGTATAATTAATATCTCGTGGAGGGGCACTTGGCTTCTCCTCCACGGCTACTTGCCGAACGACCTGTGGACGGTCTTCTCCCAAATGTCCCCTTTGGATCCTCTTGGCCTCTTTAGCAGGGGATGTTATCTTAACAGTCTGACTTTCAGCAAGCTCTTCGTCAGACAGAGATAAATTCCCCAGCTTCTGTGTGGCACTCGTTTCACCAAAGGAGTCACTTGACACCTCCAGAAGACCCTCCACGTCTAAGTCGGTCAGTACCTGTCCTTCATGCTCAACAATTCTGGCATGGAGGTCAGCAAGGGTAACGTCACCGTCCTCCCATGTACTGTCCAACTCCCCATTATCCTCGTTGACCGTGACGTCCGGATTGTCTCTCCCTAACAGGTCGACCACCCCTTCCGTCGTGTCCCTACTCTCATCCTTTTTTGTTTTTATATTTGGTTCTTCTATTTTGAATCCCACGAGTATGCACGTACAGACGGACGATCCACGCAGTGACTAGGCAACTACGTTACAACAGCGCTTTACCATGACGCTGAGGGGAGCTGTTAGCAACTAGCCTCTTTATGCACCTTAAAAGTGCCTATATAACGCTATGTCTAACGGTAAAGCCCTTACTGCTCAAAGAGCCAAATCGAATAACATAGCGTATCATCTATGTCATTATAGAAGGAAGTAGGATTGACAGACACATACCACACTCACTATCTTGACAAGATGAGTAACCTTTAGTTATACACTTCTTTGAAACCATAACTTCCAGTGGCTGGATACCGAAGCATTAGTCACAGTAAGCTCTAGTCACGATGTGTACTTAAGCCCTTGCATCACGACAAGATAGTTACCCTTGGCGAAGGGGGATAGACGTAAATCTCGAATTATCTATATTTAAATATTACCTCGTAAAAGGTTACAATAAGTGTTTGCACGTAGTGCCCTGTCGTAGACAAAATGAAAAAATAATGATTTACAAACATTTTAATTAGTAGCGGTTCTATTATAGATTGATAAACTAACTAGTTCCTACATCATTTGGGTTCATTACGATTCCATGTTGGAATGTAGCTATTTTTAGTTGGCCTATATCTTTCCTTCGTAGGAGATGAATTAATACTATTTACAGGACCGGTTAATATCCAACCAAATACGGTTTTTTGAGCCAATAATGATCCTAGTACTTTTTTCCTAATTCCGGGTAAAATAAGCTGGGGGTATACATCAGCTCCTAATAATAATTCCACGGGTCTGCTCCCGAAGGGATTCGAATCTGCCAAATGAAGATTTGGCAATTTGTCGGCATTAACCGAAACCGAAGGCAGATTTCCCGAAATGTTTGGCAAAACAGATGCCGAAGTGTTTAATAAAAATGATGAATCAGTACTAGAACCTATCACCAAATTACAAGTCTTCATCGAAATGGCTGAAAATTCCTCATTTACGCCTGAAAACTTCGCAGTTTCGGAAATGGTTGGAA